CATGATCAGAAATGCTAACACGAAATTGATGTTAGGAACGTCTTCATGGAGGGAACAATTTATTGATGCCTTAACTGTTAATGCTGGTAAGTAACTTCTAACTTAACCTCCTTTTTTTTGCATAATTAAATGTAGAAAATCTGTTTTCTAGGCGATGATGATGAAGATGAAGATGAAGGTGAAGGTGAAGGAAACGAAATTGCTATCAAAGCTCCACCATCATGTGGTGATTACGTTATGCATTTTATGACAATGCCATGGAAACTACTTTTCGCCATCATTCCACCGACAGGTTTGCTTTTTCCCTTTGATTAATGGGAAAAATTCGCGATTTCCATGGGAAATGCAAGATTTTTCTTTAGAATACTGGGGTGGATGGGCATGTTTCGTCGTTTCCATCTTCATGATTGGTGTACTAACAGCCTTAGTAGGCGATTTGGCATCACAATTCGGTTGTTGGGTAGGACTCAAAGATTCCGTTACCGCTATATCGTTCGTTGCCTTGGGTACATCTGTACCTGGTAAGTTTCTCCACCCATTTGGTCTATGTTTTTGGAGTAAGTTAATGCTTTCCAGATACCTTTGCATCGAAGGTATCGGCCGTACAGGATAAGTACGCTGATAATTCAATCGGTAATGTGACTGGATCGAATGCTGTCAATGTATTTTTGGGTATTGGGATTGCCTGGTCTGTAGCTGCGATTTACCACTTCTTTAATGGTACAAGGTAAGTTTTTTTCGATTTTTACATTCATTTTTTTAATTTTTATAAGCGCTGTAAAAAAGCGATGGAACATGTAAGATTTACTGGACTTAGATTTTAAAATTTTCAAAATTGCACACAAAATTCGAGACCTTGGATCGATTACACTGCGTCAATGATGCCTATTAAGTTCTGAACCAATCAAATCACAGCTTTTCTAAATAAGGTGTTTGAGGTGCAATTACACAATGTGTACTGTAGATAGAATAGGTTGAAAATTATAATTTAGCATTTTAACCTATAGATAACCGCTTTGGTTTTTTGTTGGCCACTGCTTAACTGGGGGTTTCGTTTGAATGTCATCTGTTAGGTACAGTAAAATTCTATAAATTTCAAAATAGAGCGACACATTCAATTAGAAAAGCGTGACCCACTCGTGGATCACACGGTCCCACGCATCCCAGGCTGTGTAACCCACTCGTGTCACACATTTTGGGATGCGTGCGTCAGTGAGTTAAATCATGATGAACTGATCCCAGTTTGATATATATTAATATACATGCGGTGTAGTTGCACAGCTTACACCAGATCGTCCGTCAGTC